ATGGACAAGGGAGGGAGGGAGGGAGGGAGGAAGAGAGAGAGAGAGAAGTGCCGGGACGCCTGCCACGGGCAGGAAGAGCGTTAGAGCGAGAGGGAGCGCGGGGAGGAGGGAGGGATAGAGAGGGAGAGAAAGCGGGAGACGGACTGAGGCGAGTGGGGGTGATAGAGGGTGGCTGGGAGGGGAACTTGCGGACAGGGAGAGAAGATAGCGATGCTCGAACGTGATGCTATGCACGACCGCGAGGGTTGTTCCGAACGACGACGGTAAATCGAATGATCATTTGATTCTTTCTTTTGGATTGCGTGATACGTAAACCTGTACGCGCAGCCCACGTCCTGCGTGTCGCTGCGAGCGCGCCTTGCTTCGCGGTTGTTCATGTCGGCGATCAGCGCGTCGGCGGATGACAGGACCCGCGAGGGTACGTCAAAGCCTGATACGCGCGCTGTCCCGGCTCGGCTCGCTCGCAGGAGATTTTGTCGATGTTGTGCATAATCGTTCTTACGTACTCGTTCACAAGCTTGCACGCAATTGTTGGTGTATAACTGCTCTATTTGAGATGATCGATGTATATGTATGCACGTTGGTGGTGTTATCGTCCGACGATCTGTAACCTTTATCGATAATTCTCCGTGCACGTGCCGCTGATTGATTGCTGCCCGTGAGTTGCAAAGGGTCCCCGAGTGCCGAGTATCGGAAACGCGGAAAGTTTCGATGGAGTTGTACACTACGCGCGACACACTGTTAAACGGCGCTCTTGCGACGTGAAATTTTCAGAGAGAAGAACGGAATCTTCCGCTGTTGAGATACCCTTTCGGGGTATACATCGCGTTTGGTCTTTTCAACTCGTCGATATTTGGACCTTTTCCAATTTACGACACTCTCTCTCTTAGCGTCGCGTTCACCGCTAAGTGTTCGATCCTAAGTTTTATGTATATAATGCGAAGATTCTATTCGATGTAACGCATCGTGGGATGACGACCACACAGATTTCACGCTAAATGTGCGATGTGAATACGAAACGATGATGTAACCGATGCCCTCGATGTATCCTTGTAACATGAATGCATGCGTCTACAGGGATGGCTTTTATACCAGAGGAACCAAAGATCTTTACGTCAGAATCGAGAAATAGCCTCCTGAGAACTTGTTTCTGCAGAAAATGTCATGATATTTTATACTGTAAAAACAACTTGCAGTATAATGAAACATTTTTTAAATTTAATTTACTTAACAAGTTGCTAATGGAGAGAAATTAAGAAATCTACCAATATTTATTATATAAAAGCCACTTCCTGTGTCTCGAATATGAGTGTTCGGCTAGAAGTATACGTCACGAACTTGTAAACTAAATGTCTTCTATCTATCTGTGTGTTCGCGAATGATAAATAATAAAGATTCTCATTGTCTTGTACCCTCAATCTCATCGACGCATCGAAACGAACCGTAAAAATTCGTCTCGGTTACGACCTGTTGAACACGTCGCGAGAAGAATTTCCTATTATAGCTCCAGAGAGAAACGTACATGTTCTTTGTCAACGAGGATCGAGTAATCGCTGAATGAGTTCGTATAATGAAATACAGTGAGAAGCTCCGATATATAAGTTTTATTCGCGTTTCACATCGCCTCTCTTGGTTATGCAGGAAATACAATTGTTCCCGTTCAATGTCGCTTGCAACGTTCACGTATATGTGAACCACTACAAACGTTTTTGTAATAAATCATAAGGAGCTACATACGTAAAACTGAATATATTTATGTAATGTAACAAGTGTGTTCGTCTTAATAAAAGAACACACGAGAAAAAAACCTAAGTATCGTAGTTCGCTCGAAAATCTCACAGCGAAAGTTTCGAAACTCTCGTAGATATTTGCGAAATGATAGCCTCTTATGATTTTCAATTATGTCTGAGGTGCGACTTTAAAACTGACCCAAGTGCCAAGAGAAACGCAGAAAACGGCGGGAGAATCGTAAAATAGACACGACAATCGGCAAATTTTCCGTAAAGTCGCAAGCAAAAAGGGTGAAACGCGTGATACGAGGAGAAAACTGCGCAGGTATAACGCGAAAAATAATTACGAGAGATCCTTGAAACTGTCGATAAAGTTAAACCAGACGTTATTTACAAAATGGCACTTCGATCCGCTTTAAAGTACACGCCTCGAGTGCAACCGGGTGTGTAATTCAGTTGGCGAGCACGCGGACCGGCGCGTGTACTCGCGAATGATTCATCGCCGTTCGTTTTACACGGCGTCGGCTGAGGAAAGCCGACTATTTTCGGGTGGCGTCCATTAAGCGGGATGTTTTAACGGTCCTTACGTGGATTCGGCTCATAAAACAGGAAGCTGATATCAAGGTATCATCGCGTTATCGCGTAATGTGAATTTACATATGACAATACCTTTCTATTACGGCCGGCGGTGGTTCGCGGTAGCGGCGTTATATTACCAAGTCGTTGTAATGTATAGCCGTATATACACGCGACTCTCTCTCTCTCTCTCTCCTCGCTCGGTCAGACCATAAAGCGAGTAATATAGCTCGCATACAAAATGAAATATTTCAATTGCGGGACTCGCGTTAATTGCGCGCATGAGCGCGAACGCGGGCGCGTCGCTTCAATTACGCTAATGAATTACAGGCGAGCGAATGCTATGTGGGCGCGTGTGCAGCGTCGAGAGGAGAACGGATTCTCCAGTCCGTCCGTCCGTCCGAAGGAGAATGATCTCTCGCGGCCGCGGTTCGATCGACCTGAGATACGACGTTCGAGGTGAAACGCGCGCGGAGGGGGGGGGGGATAATGAATATGTAAATATTCCGGTAAATATTCCGGGTGCACGTTGTTGCTTGTAAATAGCGAAGTGCGTGTAACAGGTGGTGCGCTCTCTATCGCGGGATCGGTGTCGTCGCGTCGCCCTTATACAATAATACGCGGAACGATGACGATGACGACGGTGACGACGGCGGTGACGGGCCGCGCAATGACGTAACCGTGCGTGTATACAGGCCCTTGGCCGACGCGTTACGCAACGACGTACGCGAATGAGTGTCTCGTGCTTTTATAACCGCTTCACGAGTCGTGTGCTCGCTGCGCATCCGTCTATCTCTGTCCATCTGTACCGTAGTTGGTGGTGGCCTGAGAGGAATCTCGCAGGCAAAATTGCTCGCAATTCCGTCATATTCACGTGCCTCGAAAAGAGAAACATTAAGCGTCGGCGCAAAGCATTTCGTTGTGTGGCTCGCTTTGATAACGCAAGTTTCCACATCTCGTCGCGATAAAACTGCACACACAAGTCAGGTGAAACTCGAAGAATTTCATAGCATTGTAATTTTTCTCCCGAACGTTATATCGGAGTTTCTCGTTTCCGGCCGATTCATCGGCGTAACCAGTATTATTGTTATTATTATTATTATATATTCACGGTGTTTCCGAAAAATATGAATTTTTCATCTTTCAATTTGTAATAACGCCATAGACCGAAACGATCACTTCGATCGCGATGCGCGCGAAAATATATTTAATTAAATTCATATATAATTTCCTACAATATAAAAATCTAAAATTTGCCACGTTTCCACCGTTACTTGTTACTAAAAGCAACACAAGTTCAGATTATATAAGCACAATGAAATATTTTCCAGATGGACTCTCCCGAAAGCTTTTGTCCGCTTAGACATCATTGTGCGTGCGCTGTTCGCCTGCTCATTCGTTCGTTCGTCCGTCCGTTCGCCGCCAATGTGCGCGATACGCATTCACACGCGTGTATGCGTGCGCCACACGTACAAAATGCACGTAGCGGGGCCCGCGGCAGTAAAAACTTAACGGCGCATTCTCGCGATCGCTCTCCGCCGCGCGATAAAATTTACGCGCGTCGTAAATAATTACAATAAAAGCGACATGGACGGGAGTATCGTCCCTCTTCGGCGTTATGACCGCCGCTCCGGCTGCTAGCCGAATGAAATCGTTCGGGGCCCGAATTGGAGTCGTCGTCGCGCGGACCGTTTCGTTTGGGAGCGAGGCGCATTCACACAGCCCTTCGCGAGGACAATCTTCCTTGGGGCCCCGAAAAAGTCGTGCGCAGCCCCGATTTTACGGCCTTACGGGACGCGAGATCGGATTTTGCACAATTTCTGGGACTCGTAAAGTGTCTCCCTCGGGAAGCTTCTTCGACGTATAAATCGGGGGGCCCGAGAGTCGGAGGCGTAACCGCGGGGACGCCGAAATCCGAAAGTGATTGACCGAAGCGCGAGCGAGAGAATTTTCGCGGTTCGGAGACTTAGCAGAATGGCTGACTTGTCAGTTCGTGTTTTATGCCTCAAGCCTTTATCTTAAATAACGCGCAATAACCGTCTTAGGTCCGCAGTCTTAAACTAAAAAGCCGCTCTGTTTGTGATTGATGACAAATCGCTACATAATAAGAAAAATGTTAAAACTGATGATTTAGACAAGCATTTAGAGTATGAAACATTTTCTTAAGGAGGATATAAGACTCAGTGTCGTCTTTTCAGCGCATCTTGAGCATCAAAGGGGCCAGCCATAAATTTCATATTTATCGAGCAAAATTACGTTTCTGTACATTTCTTTCATTATTTAAATAATGAATATTAATTTGAAATGAAATTGGGATAAATATATACACATACACAATATTACAAATACGAATATTATAACTTTTTGTTTTCCCTATTAAGGTTATATTTAAGCATCAGTTGCTCTAACAGAGATGCAGAAACAATAGAAAGAGCTACATTAATGTTTAAATATATACATGTGTATTTCGAATATTATTATAAATTATGAATTTTATATCGCCGTAATTCTAAAATAAAACGGCCAATTATTCTGGAATTTCTATCTGTATATTGGTCTTTAATGTCACAGTAATTTTTCGTCAAAATCTCATGTTTCGAAGGTATTAAAAATATAAATTAAAAATAGTACATTATATATGTGTAAATTTATGTTCTTTTCTTACGCGCCATTACCTCAAACCTCTTTGAAATTACAGGCCAGTCGTTCTGCTACGGCCTTTCGTTGCAGGGACGCCAGGTTGTGGGACGTGAGAAGTTCCGCCACTTCATATACACGCAAATGCCACTATATATACACACGCGTAACGTATACATATAGCCGAACGAAGGCTCGCTTGGCTACACAGATGTATGTTACGCACGCGGTAGTGGCATCCCGCGAAATTAAGTGGTGGGGGTTCTCACGTTCCACGACCCAGCATCTCCGATTCGTTGTCGGATCCACGCGATAACTCTGACCTTTCAGTGTCCGGACTGAAGCGATCGCTAGCGCGTGATAACGCGGCCGATCGATATCTTTATGCCGTCGCGGCATGCACACTATGTGAAACGCGCGATCTTTCCTCGCAGGGCTCACCTCGTATCCCGCATGCTGTCGACTGCCACGTAATCACGCCTCTCGACGAGCGCTCGCTGGCCCTACAACAACTTCGTCCTCGGCGGTAGCTGTGTCGTCGTCGCACGCAAGATGAACGAACGATCCGCGGGAGAGAGCGCGTAGTGCGTACGACGCGTCGCAACGACGACGAAAATGAGATGAGAAAGCGCGAATTGTTGTTTCCGGCAGAAGAAGATCCGAGTCGAGTCGCTTCGCGTCGGGGAATTTCGGCCTGGTGAATCTCGGGTGGTGATGGCCTGCCGATCATCCCAGCGAGTCGTATCTTCCATCGCCGAGTTGACAAGGGAAAAACAGCCGACGACGGACGCGTGATCACCGTGCAACATCGCTGACTGGCCTCGTAATCGCATCGGTATAATACGGAGCCGCGAGCGAACGCATCCTTCGAGGAGATCGCACTCCGCTGACCGGTGAGTACCGCTTCAGTGTCGCTACCGAGTGTACTCTGTCAGCAGCTCGTCCGCTTATAATCAAAACGACGTTGCGCGAGAACCCGCGCGTTCTTTTCTCGTCCGGCTCCTCGAGCGGACGAGTGCATATCTCCGCTCGCGAAGGAACGGACATCGAGGGTCGAGTTTTTCCCCACGTTCGCTCACACGTCACGCGGAATTTTTACACACGCTCGATGTTCGCCGATTCGAGCGAGTTACTATCGTGTACTACGAACGCATGTCGTTCTGAATCGTGATTTTAACACGAATATCCCGTCGCATGTTGATATAACAAGATTGAATCGGGAGATAACCAAACTTATGAGACCGCTTCTCACCTCGCCTCGGTTTTTATAAGCGTGCTTTCTTAAGGGGGAGAACCCGAAGTAGTCTTGTTTTACCGCAGAAATTTCTTGGTACTATACTCGTTGCCGGCTGCACGGAATTAAAAATCCTCCTGCATTAATTATAATACATATGTTAATGCAAGCGAGGACGGTTGACTTTGTTCGAAAGACGAAAAAAGTTAACGAATTATATAATTATTTTAATTATAATATATATATAATTATATGATATTTATATAATTATATATATATATTATAATTATAATAATTATATAATTATATAATATTTATTATAATTAAATAATTATATAATTATTTTTTTTTCAGTTTTCGAATAAAGTCAACCTCACTTGCATTAACGTATGTGTTATAATCGTGTAAGAGGATTTTTAATTCCGTGCAGCCGGTAACGAGTATAGCGCTGTGAAATTTGCGTACTAAGAATAGAACAAGATGACTCCAAGATCCCCTCAAGTAGAATCAGAGAAAATATTATTGATTGAATCCGAGAAAGAGTACTGTGCCAATAATCAGTGAGTATTCATTAATTTTTTGTGGAAACGCTTCCACTTAGTTTCTCTTATCTTATGTCTCACTGACTGGCCAGTGAAAGATTCACCGCCGCAAATCACTGTTACGTTTCCTGTAGCAGAAATATATGTACATATCGTGTATACATTCAATCGTACGTCGTATTTGGCCTAATTTTCATGGTAGCGGACTCAAGAACTAGAAATTTCGAGTTCTCAAGTCCCATCAAAATAAGCGTGTCTTTCAAATACAATATAAATGAAATCAGTTAAACATAATTACGAATATCTCAGGCAAAATTACTGACAATATTTTAAGAGTGGGATTCACATAATAAAAAAGATGTTGTAAACAATATTCCTTTTCTCACTGTTTCGCAATTGAATTTCCCCGATGAAGGCAATTGCTGCTATTAACAAACTTTCGTAGTGCTATACTTGTAACTGATGATATAACCGACCGCTAGTTGACTATTTCTCAGTGATGATACACCGGATTGCACTTTAGAGCGTACAAACGCCACGGAGCGACGTAGCCATTTGTGATTCGATTTGTAAGACTATCGGCGTCCGTTCCTCTTTCCTTTCCGTCCGTTTCTCGTTCTTCTCTCGGGGGTCAACTTGCACTCTCGTGCGAAAAATCAGCCCTCTCTATCGGTCACGTGATCGATGATGCCGATGCGATCTCTCAGGTCGTGACAAATCGCCGCGATGGCGATTTGTTACGCCGCGGCTCGCATCAAATGCAAGAATAATACCGGCTGCGCTGTAATGCGCGTTAAGCGTGGTTCTGCATCGCGCGTATCTTGACGGCGGAGCAATGAATGAAGGCAGCCGCGCGGTGCAGCTCGCTCGTGCAGGTGGAAGTCGTAACGCCGGGGAGTGCGCGCTATTACTCCTCAATGGCCGGCCGCGGTTAATTGCGAAGCAATATTCAAAGTGATTCCCGAGGTCTCCGGCAAGAATACGGCCTAATTGACTTGTAAGCCGACGCATTCGACCGGAGGCTGATTGCAAACGGAATCAGCGTTTCTGCCTGTGAGAGTCCGATATTGCCGGCGCTCACGAGACGACGATCGATTCTCGGTATTTCAGGTAGCGAGCGGCGCCGTAAACCTTTCCCCGGCATTTTCGCGCGCGGAATAATCAGCGGCAAATATTTATCGGCGGAAATATGCATTCGTTAGTACTAATTTCATGGGGGGTGCCTTAATGCAAGCGTGAGCGACTGGTCGTGTTAAGCGTCATTTACATCCTCGCGAAAATCCCGCTGTAAATTAGGAGCAGCTCGCTCTCTTATATTATTAGCGTTAATTTGCCTCGCAAAGGTCATAGCGACACCTTCCGGGGATGTGATTTGTAACGGAAGTGCTCTGTTCGGAGAGCACGGCTATCGAGGTGTGAAAAATGAGGGGAGGCGAGGCCGTGCAAGGCGACAAATGACCAGGCGCGAGTGTAAAATCGCACTTCTTACTAAGTAACGCTCGCATTTCTTAAAAAGTTATCTCGGATAATTGTTCCGGGCGAGACGAAGTATAGCCCGCCGGCGGCCATTCCGCTACCGGTATTCAATTCCAGCGGGGACTGCGAGAAAGCATAATTAACGCCGTCGGATTGTAAATTCACTCTAGTATAAATATTTGCATCTCGGAACTCCGCGCACAAAGTCTGCATACATTTGAATATATCTTCTTTCCGGGCGGAGATTCCGCGCCGCATATCGGCGATACGACTAACATCGCGCTCGGGCTTATTTCAATTTCCGTAACTCGCGACGTTGATCTTCTTGGATCCACAAAATTAAAGCGAATTGCCGAAGAGCGGTGTGGCTGAAGAAACGGAATGCTCGAGAATGCCGAGAGATACCGCCGTGTTCTGGACCACGTAAAAAAAAAAAAAAAAAAGAAAGAAAGCGACAGAAGGAAAAAAAAGTGTACGGGACTCCGCTTAAACAAAACATCGATAATGCTTCGGCGACCTTAAGAAAGGAAGAAATGGTTTTTGGTTAAGCAAAATTTTCTCTTCGTAAAATTTCATATGTATCATTATCATAGCACCGTGTTAACTTGTTTCTAATAAACCACGCCGTATGATGCATCAATTTGTGTACTTCACTAATTTGTAAATTGTTTAATTTTATTGCGATTTAACGCCCGACTTTCGCCATTTTCGAAATAAATGGTTCATTTAATTTCCGTAATTTCTGTAATTGCCGTAATTTTCCAATGGACTGTGTCGTCATTCGATTATCGGCGAAGCGAATTTGCACGCGAATCGACTTTAACCCTTTGCGGCATGGCGTAATTTCGAGGAACGGTCCGACGTTTAAATACCTTCTTTTATCTCACGACGACACCAGTATTGCCTAATGTAATAACCTACTTTCGTCATTTTTAACGTTGAACAAATATTCGTGGGATAATTGGCAACTGGTGATTATTCATAATGTTTGGGTTATCATAAGTCAGTCGAGTCGAATTTACCCTTGTGCGTTTCGCTACGTTTATCCTTATCTATATTCATGATTTAGCATCTCGTCGTCTCAAATTTATCGGTAATACTTACATTAACACGAATACCAGTACGAGTAATGATATAAACATTCGTGTGAAACATTTCGTATGCTTCCACTAATTCCTGTGCGATTTCACGGGAATACAGTCCCGGTCTAATTTCGGCGCTACCAAGACGCGAGAATTGACCTTTTCTGTTTATTCGCGGCAACGGGATGAAGCCGACGACGGGATCGGCACATTTCCATCCGTGTCAGTAGCGCCGTTGATCGAAATTACTCCGGCTTCGGTACTCTCGAACAGGACGACTCGCAAAGTACAGAAAGGTAGGCCCGTAAATCGAGGTTAGGTCCCGAGGAAACGCGAAGCCTCGGGATGAGCGGAGTCAACGAACTTCCGTCGCGTTTACGTAACCCCCGGCCGTGTAAACATATCGATCTCGAGCGGGCATGTGCGCATTGTAGCTTTATTTCTCTCTCGCGGAGGCGCCCCGTGTACGCGGCCGATGAGACCTAGGGTGGGTCAAGTTGACCTTCTCCTCGCGACCCTTTGTCGGACCGGTTGCGCGTATCGCGAATAATCGCATTCCGGTTCGCACGTCATGCGTTCCGAACGGACGACGTGTAAAAAGGAAGTGCCCGTTTTCGAGCGAGCAACGTCGAGCGAGTCCGCGTGTCGACGTGCGAAACGTCCGCGACAGACGTCGTCGCGATGTCGCGTTTCTCATTTCGTCGAGATCTCCGTGCTACGTGCTTCATGTCCACCATTTTTGGACTCGGAATATCCTTCAAGGGACAGGAATTAGGTAAAGTAATGAATTTTTCGCAAGCCGGGCGGGATTTTTTTTTTCACGAGGCAAGTCCGTTTCTGATTAATTCGAGCGCAGACGCTGAATGAAAGCGCGCGTTAAACGCGAATAAATGGATTCGGATATTTTTCTACGAACTATTATAAATGTTTCTAGCGGACAATTGAAATTTTTAAGTGTCTGTCGAGTTCAGCTGCTAGAGCTGCGAATAGTTTTAGCGAATTTCTGGTTTCATTGATTAATCGACTTAACCTGCTTGCATTAAATAAGAGAAGTCCACTCTCTGTCTCAATTTAAGAGCCATGTGGGTGGCAGATATCAGGTTAACCTTTGCAATAGTCCGGTGTATTACGTAACAGCGCGAGTACTAAGGGAGGAGGGTGAAAGAGCGAGTATATTGTGTCCATTACATAAAACCACATTTTCTCGTACAGCAATTTCCTTTCGACTCTACCGACAATTTACAAAAAAATATTATTATACCGCAACAAAAAGAGAGAGAGAGAGAGAGAGAGAGAGAAAGGAGATGCCACCAAACTGTTACATAATTTTTCCCCTCATCCCCGAAACAAAAAGAGGAAAAATGCAATTTTTTCGACACATTGGTAATAAATAATGAATGCAAAAAGGATTGTCCGCCCCTCCCTGTTCGCTCCTATCCCTTCGATACTGATACGATTAATCCTTTCGGTGCTATGAACCCATATACGCATTCAGTAAATCCAATCAGCGTGCGTTATGAATTCACATATGCATTCGGTGAATGTGATATCGACGTGTG